ACTCAAGCAACACCTTTGTCAGACTATGAGATGAACACACCAAGCCCTGTGGAGTACTGATGGCCAGTAACTTTTTTGTTTCTTTTTTGATCAGTTTTTTTGGTACTAGGTAATTTTTGTGGAGTAAAATCAAATCACTTAGAGTTTTGATACTTTCCACATTGGTAATTAACTAAATGGAACCAAAAAGAAATACTGAATTTTAAAGGGAACATCAGATTGAAAACACTGTGCAAAGTACTGAAAAGTACTTGCTGATAAAAAAAAGATGAAATTGCAGCTGTGAGATATTTTTTTTACAATAGCCAAACAATATTTAAAGTTGGCAAAAAAAACTTTTTAGATAATAAAATATTACAGAAAGAACTCTAAACAGGATTGATATAGCATAGCCATAAAACCATGTAATATCAAAGTTGAATTTTGAACAGTACTCCTATCTGACCATTGGTATGTCCACTCGTAGTCCTAAGTTCAAAATTATTATTTCACCACTCTTAGAATAGATGGAACTATTTCTAGAGAAACAATTCCACTGCTTAGTACAAACACTACAAGCACTTGCAACAGGTAATTGGCCAATAGGTTGACTACAGTAGTACAAAATAGGTTCAATTTGTACTACCTTTTTGAAAATGACATGAAAGCCTAAATCTCTTGAACATGATACCTTTTTGAACTTATTTGAGTGAATTAATTCAAATGACTCATCTTGTTGCACTGCAAGTTTTAGTGTTTGTAAGGTAACTAAGAAAAGGAGAAAAGCCAAGGTTGTAAAAAATATTCCAATGATCCCATAATTTTGAGTTTAGATGACAACCTTAACTTGTCTTAGAAAAATAATTTAGAAGTTGCACCTTCCAACCAACATCCTCTGGGTAACTTAAAAAGAACGTTATTCCAAAATACATGGGCTACCATATTTTTGAATAGCCAAGTAGGAGATTCAGAAAAGCAAGTGGATGATGGAAGAGGAGATTGGTGAAAAAGTACAAGACTTAATACTGGTAAATTATGCACTTGACTTACTGTGTTGAGGGGGTGAGCGAGGAGTGCAGAATGTAGCAGGCAAAGCTTTATAAAGCATCATAACATATGGTAATCAAAGAAAGCAGAACCACACTATCTTATCAAAATTAGTATGCTCAAATTGAAAGCCAATAATAACAAAAAAATGGTTACCACTGTCTTAGTTTAAAATAAGGCAATATACTGCCATCAATCAGAGTATGTAAAGGTTAAAGGTATCGAACAATATTTATTTGATTGCCCAATTATTTTCCTTTCGCACTGTTCTCTCAAACAGTGTGTAACAATGACAAGATAGTGGGCTTCTACTGTATCACAAGATGTATCAATGGATTTTAGTACAGCAATAGCATACTAGACAGACTGTAAACATGTAATAGAAAGACAGAAATGGTTTAGGAAAAAGCTTTTTTCCAAATTTTGTAATTCTGGGAATTTGCCAAATCTGATTCAAAAGCTAAAGAAAGGATGGAAAAATTAAGCAGAGGTCTTTGAGTATTGAGAATCTTCCAAATTCAAATGCAAAATACTTAACAATGTATCTTAATTAACACTTGCCTCAGGGAAAAAAGAAGTAGATTGAATAGAATGCACAAAATTTTGAAAGAAACTTTTTCATGTACATCAAAAATCAATCAAATGTATAATAAATCATTCAATGTGACACAAATAATCAAGATCAAAAATATTAGTCAAATGCAATCAAAATCATAAATAAATCAAATATATATCATAATAAGTAGAGTTGATTTAAGCCAGGCAAACATCAGGTCCAATGGAGACATCATAAGTGCATAAGTTACCAGCATTTAGTAAATTGTAATAAAATTCAAAGGATGTGGTCACTTTTCATATGTAATGAAAAGGTTGCACAAGAGTTCTGATTCTTAAAGTGGTGAAATAAAATCTACATACAACAAAGCATTATATGTAGATAAATTTAATAATTGAAGATTATTTACCAAAGACAAAGTGAAGATTAGCCAATATTTACCAAAATTTGAGGCAAATACCAACCAGAATACACTCAATCTGTGGTAAATAAGTATTTAGTAAAATTACACAGGTGAATATCAGAAAAAAAGATTAAAAAAGATATAAATGAACCACGGCTAAAAATATGTATTTGGCACAATCGATTCAAAAAAATTGTTTTCACTGGTGCAATTTTACCAAGTAACATCTAAGAATAACACTTAAAGATTCAGCAAGCCTTCCTATACTTGAAGATCTGACTATAAAAAAACAATAAAAGTGTCAGTATGATTGTCGTCCAAGGTGAGCAAAGCCTAAGGGACCTTTCATTTTTTTGGTGCAGTTTTCTTATGACTGTGAAAAGCTCAAGGCACGAACAGCGTCCTGACACGGCAAAGCATATTCCAGACCAATCACAGTGCACAAGAATTTACTCTCAATCCAATCAAATGCATGAAACACAGCATAAACATGACTCACACACAATCATGCCAAGGTCACGGCACTGCCAGACCAATCACATTGAGCTAGAAAAAATCCCCTAATCAAAATTCTAGAAAACATCATGGTCGCGACAAGGCACGCATACGGCACTGACTTTTTCACAGTTATACAATAATTGCTCTAACCTGGGAGCAGTGGGTAGTGGAATTTTGGGAGGGGCTTACAAAGATATCTGGACATTCACATGGCAGCCATGTTGACTGGAACAATAGATTCATACAGGCATAGCTCCCATTCAAATGCTTGATTTAACTAGACGCTCTGAGAACATGTACTCGGGCTACAATAAGAGTAACTGATACAAACTGTTTTTTGAGACTTCTTTAAAAAAATGGAAGCAAAGCCTGCATGTGGCTACTGTAACTTTTTTAGACCAAATGGCATCACAGGAGGCCCATACGAGCTTTGAGAGATGGTTTGGCAATTCATGTCTGACATTGGTCAAATATTTGTAAAGTTATAGCAGTTTTTTATGTGATCACGTGACTGATGACATATGTCACATGATTGGCACTGTGTGTAAGCAATGCCTGACAGTGGTCAAATTTTTTAGAGTTATTACAGTTTTAATTTAGTCACGTGATTGATGACATATGTCACATGATTGGCACCCATGTGTAAACAGTGTCCAGCAATATATGTCTGTCCAAGTTTGACTGACGGTGGTCAAATATTTGTAGAGTTATTACAGTTTTAATTTAGTCACGTAGTTGATGATGTCATATGTCACATGATTAGAATCTGTGTGTAAGCAATGTCCGGCAATGTATGTCTGTCCAAGTTTGACGGATGGTGGTCAAATATTTGTAGAGTTATTACAGTTTTTTGCAGTCATGTGATTGATGATGTCATGTGTTAAGTAGCCACAAAAAATGCTTCTTCCTGTCACTTGACATCGAAGTAATTATAAGAAAAGGCTTTTGGGTAATTCAACGGGTAAATCAYGTGACAGCTCTTGAGCTACCTGTAGTAAACCACTTGATCGCTGGGCTACCTGTGATTTCCAAAACGTTGCATGACAGATAGGCAAAAAGGTAAATCTAGACTCTGGCCTGAGTAAATAGGAGAATAATCAATTTCATGAATTCTTATCGAAACATATTTCAAAGAAATGTATGATAATTCTCATTATAAAGCTCCTGCACTGATATGGTGGCCCGTCAAGTTCTTTAAATTTGGATGCGCACACAACCTTGAGAAATTAGTCTATTGGACCATTATTATAGAAATTATAGAAAGCTTCAAATTAATTTATACAGGTAAAAAACCTCAATCTAATCTTAATGTCTAACTAGTTTGGTCTAGTTTTGAGGCATTTCTTACCGTGTATTAGTTGAAGTTTCTGTTCACACCTCGAAGCTTCACACTCAACCTGCCATCTTGTTCCTTCTTCTCAAAAAGACCTTGAAGCATGATGGGTACACATGTTTCACTACCACAGGATGCCCATGTTATATTTTGGGAGGTTCAATTTATACCGGGGCAAAGCCAGGATTTTCCAAAAGGGGATGCCCTTATTGAAAAATCCGCCATTTTGTTTAAGCCACCTAAACGCAGAAAGAAAAACAATTAATAAACGACATTTCTTTTTACGATTTCTYTTTACGAATTTGAAAAAGTCGCCATTTTGTTACCACGAAGGGGGACGGCCTGGGTTTTCTTAGCCACCCCTCTGTCTACACCCCTGTTAACCTGTGTTTTCCTACCGGCTGGATGGACAAATCTACTTTCAGAAAAGAATCGTTGTTATCAATAGACGTCACTTCCGGTAATAGCTATATTTTTTATGGCTTGTAGAATCTTGGAGGTTGTTTTTATCTCTTGTTTTCTGGTTTCATGTCGTAGAAATAGTCAAATACAATAGTTTGAGGACTTATATTGACATGTTTTGACTAAACATTCGCCAGTTGCCCCTCTCAGTCAACCGCTTATTTGCCCCCCAGTCAACTCCAAAAAGTCACGTGATTGATAGTAAGCGATTGTCCTTCTAGACGGTATTAACCTATGCATGCTATCCTACCGGTTGAAAGGACAAAACTACTCTAAGAAACAAATTGTCCTTTTAGACGATATTAAGCAGGGGCGTTAACAGGATTTTACCGAAAGGGGAGGCCCAAATTAAGAAATCCGCCATTTTGTTTTATACTACTGCGCCGAGCAAAATACAAAAACAAAAACAAACAAACAAAAAACAAACAAACAAAAAAACCTAAATAAAAAAAAATAAAAACGACATTACTTTTACGTTTTATTTTTACAAATTCTAAAAAGCCGCCTTTTTGTAGTCACGAAGAGCGCTCCCTGGCCACCCCCTTGCCCCCGCCGCTGAATTACCTATATGAGAAGCTTATTACCTCGACCTCATTTTAAAATAGACATTAATTTGCGTGAAGACACTAGTAGCGGCTGCGTAGGGAACCACAAAGTTATAATCCAGAAAAAGAAATTCTTACCTTTCAAAAACAATATGAAAGAAACAGACTAACACCAACCGAATTCATTTGGATTATATTTCATGAAAAAGGTCGAAAAATACAAGCTCTACTGAACACAGTATGGGATCCCGTGTCATACATAAAGGTTATTTACCGGTCAGGAGGCCCGGATATGGAACGAGAGCAAAATCCGAGTAACTTTGTGTAACTTTCGTAACGTAGCTAGACGACCACATCAGACAAACTACCAATCCATGCATGCAAAAGGGTTTCTTTTCAATGATTTAAACGATGCTTATATTTATTAATTTTCTCTAGTCTTATTACAACTATACAATCATCATGTGCTAATGGGCATTGCTTTTGGCTGTAAAATATATAAACGACAATTAAAAAATCTAAATACTAAAGGCCAGAGGTGCTTAAAGCTAAGATCCCATGGTCTTCAGTGTGTCACGTACCCCTCCCCTCTAAATAGTTTTGAACCACGCCTAACGGTGAATATACTTTATCTACTTGGTTACTAATGATGCTATTATAAACCCATCTAAAAATTTAATATAAATGGAGTGAATAAGTTATTTCACAATGTACAATAAAAACTGTGCTTTCTAAAATCCTAAACATTCCCACGATGTGAAGTGCTGTATAAGTTACGAAAATTAATATCCTCTTATTATCAAACCTGGCCCTACTGTCTAATTCGAATCGTGTTTGTCAGTAGATATTTAAAACATCGAGGTCTTTTTATGGTCTGTACTCTGAATATGGAATGGCATCAGCATACGATCCAAACTCCTTGAAGTGGAACTATGAGCGCAGCGAGTGGTTTCACTGCAAAGTTTGGATCATATGCTGACGCTTCTTCTTGTTCGATAAGGGTACAGACCATAGATAATGGACTTCGATTTGTTTTTTTGCCACAAAATAAATCACTAACACGCATTTTTTCGACGTCTTTTTAAACGTCAGCTCATTTGTCTGTTCTCTAATCGATCATAGTACTGAGCCAATCCGTGTGCGAGAAATTCGAACGATTTGTGGTAAAATAGGTAATAGAGGTTAATTGATATTATTTCTATAGTTGTAATTGTTCGTATGTTTTTGTTTTTTTGCTGTTTTTTTTTGTTTTTGTTTGATTTTTTGTTTCATCGCGAACTATTTTTACCCAGTCAATTACTTGATTACGGTTTGGTAAACATATTAAAAATTTCGATCACTTCAACCAGTTTTTTAAATACTAAATAATTCGACTTTATGGTGAAGGGGACTTGACCTCATATTTTTTTAAGCGTAAAATAGCGAGGAATTTACGTGATGATATTTCCAAGTTCTTGCGGTATTTGTTATGACGGTTTTGAGCGCGTATTGACGAGATTTACTCAGGTTTTGAGCAAAGAGGAGTGTAAAACTATTTTCCTCTTCTCGGATCCTGTGAACGAAAACAGGGAAGAAAATTAGAAAATAATAAAAAAAAACTTTTCCGTGGCTTTATCCTATACCTAGTACTTTATCACCAAACCCTTAAACAACCATTACCCAGTCAGCGCACGGCGAACTCACAGACTGAATCAATATTTAGCGTGTTGCATGGGTATTATGTAGGAAAAAAAACTTTCAAAGAGTGCGGGGGCATTGCATGGTTAATAATGTTAATGATGTTACACGACAAGAGGATATATATTCATTTTCTCTTGTACACGATTAATCAAAGGGCGTGGAAACTTATTTATTTTACATGAGCCGTGAAAAAATAGCAAGCGCATTACGTCAAAGGCTCGTTCGCAGCCGCCATTAGTTTCGGTTCCAGATCCTCACGGGCTCTCTACACACTAAAGACGGCTAAGGAGGAGACTAAATACTTGACTCATTATTCAAATATTACTACTCACCTTTCCCGGTTTCCATTTGGCAGACATGTTAGGACTTCCTGTGGCAGAGGAGTCATGGTACTGAGAGGATGTCGGACAGGTACACTTGGATCATCGACCACAAGGATCTTCGGCTAAAAATACATTTAACAAATTTAATGACTTTGATCGTATTTGATTAATTACTATTACTAATATCCTTTTCTTACCCCAGTAACGTACTCTGTCATTATATTCACTACCCACTGGATTGACAGCTTCTGGGAATGTGCAAAAATGTTCAATTCGTAGTTTTCTTGGCCTATTGAGTGTTTATCCTGCCAACGAGTAATCGTGTATTTAGTCCAATATTTATAACGTCAGAACAAAATTCATAATACAACAGAGGGTATATAGACATTTTGTAAGATGTCGGGGTAGTGGGGGTCTATTTGCCTTGGCTGTACAGATAAAGGAGTTATAGGTTGACTGTGTCCCCACTTCCAAGCCAGGATTTTTGTTTTAAAAGTGATATTGATATTTGTTGCTGGAGTGAGTGACCACCCAACCAAAATTCTAAATCTGCAACTAAATCATTTCACTTGAGGGTTGCGCAACGCCTAAAACCCTCAAAGAAAAAATAGACTTTTCCCCCTTTTTTATCACTGTTGCATTCAATGATTTGGTGTTAAAACTGGATGACGTATTATCTCGTTTTCCGATTGGTTCAATTGTGTTACCTTGGTTACGTAGCCAATGAAGTACAGCATGAATACGTTCATGCCTTGCAGTCTTTTTAATGATTGACGAATTTTCATTTTGATTTGCTCGGGTTTTAGGTTGGCGCACATCTGAACTAAGGAGTAGAAAAAATTCAGTATTATTATTAGTACCGGCCCTATTAACATTGTCATTGGGTTTCATGTCGATAGGCCCCTTAAGAATAGGGAAATCCCGAATTTTGCCTTGCATGCACAAACTGATTTCCCATATCTGACAACTGCTTGCCTGATCGCATGTGTGATCGCCGACAAAAATCGTAATTTAGCTCGAAAGTTTAAACTTCTCTTAACCACCATTCACACTTAGTTGAACCACCTTTGTAATTTCTATTCGTTATTTTTCTTTTCTCCTTCAATCAATAATTTGTAATTTAAAATGTAAGCTCGTAAATGTATGTGCAAAATAAACTCAAGTAAAGTCAAGTAGCTTCAAGTCAATAGTAATACTCCATTCCCAGTAAACTGCAGTCTCTCAAATATAGAACCATCGATTCTAGCCATTTCTTTTAAGATCATTGTATATACCTTGCCAGTCAAGTTGTTTCAACGCAGATTCCAAATGTCCTGCGCTGGTTAGCACTGTCTTCTTATGTAAGCTATGGTCACAAAACACGATGGCACGACGTGGAGTCTTTTCATCAGGCTTCCAAATAGTAATGCCTTCGTCATCTATAGAAGATATGAAAATATATTGTAACAATCAAGTGATATTCCTAAAGTTCGTCATGACTGTCTTATCAGTCGGCTGAAGCTTTTATTTTGAAAGGTACTAAATTTTGAAACAACGAAGTAAATCTATTACTAGAAGACTATATTTTCAAATCGTACGCATGGACTTTTTCGGCTTCGGCGTAATGTTTTCCCATTTCAGAACATGTATCATTCTCTTGATAATAAAGCGAAGGACACACGGTGCAACATTGCGCGTAATGCTGCATGCAATTGATGTTGCGAGCCATGGCAATTTGTTGCACGCAACGTTGCTAAAGTAGAAAACTATCCTACTTCAGCAACATTGCCTGCAATGTTGCGCGCAATGATGCACCGTGTGTCCGTGTGCCTTAAGATTTCTTTGTTTAAGTTTCACCCATATTCGTCATTTTATCGAATACTAAATGTGTAATAAACAATAAGCAATATACATGTTAAGAGCTTGATATCTTTTTTATTCACTCGTTTTTCATATGATATCGCTCACTCGCTCGCAGACTCGCTCGTTCACGATATGATATGGAAACTGGTGAATAAAAATGATATCAAGCTCCTAACATGTGATAATCTCTATATATATCACACGTGTAGACTTTGTCAAAGTCATTCACGCTTGGCACGCGCCCTCATTACCAGCTGAGCGAGTTAGTGAGTATCTTCCAGTGAGTTGGTGAAAGCCTGTGTCACATTTTTATTTTTATTTTCGTGAGGGTCATACGATAATATGTACTTATTGACTGAGTTAGGTCGGGCCGTACGGGAAAATATTTGGCTCGAGGTCATGTCGTACGGACCGAGCGCAGCGAGGTCCGTGCAAATGACCGAGAGCCAAATATTTTCCCGTACGGCCCGACCTAACTCAGTCAATAAGCATTTTATCRTATGASCCTYACGAAAATAAAAATAATTAARRAAAAGAAAGCGCGCGGATTCGAGCAGGGCCGGACGGGTTTTTCCGGCCCGCTTRCGTCAACCCGTCCGGCCCCCATCACGTGACTTTTTCCAATGGTTTTATTAGAGCGAGCGAGCAGGGCCGTACGGGTCATATGATAATTAACAATTATTCGCCGAAGGCGAAGTGATTATCGGTGGAATATATAATCACTGAGCCTGAGGGAAATAATTGTCTTAGTATAATTTCAGACTTGAGTATCATAACCACTGCTCCAGCGGTGATTATCGTCTCAGAATCACCGGTCGCTCGACAGATCACAGCACGAGAAACTCTATATTCAAGTCTAAAACTATACTAATTAACAATTTTTAACACAAGTGAATTTAATGAATAACGGAGAGAGAGTTTTGTTACGTTTTTCAAATGTTATGTATCTCTGCAAGCGGCACAAATCGACAAACGAGCGTGAGCGCGCGCGCTATTTTCACCTGTAGGTTAACATAGCAGCATAAGACGTAATATATTCACTTGTGTAGAAATACTAAAAACTGCTATTGCTTGGTATCAATCAGTTTTAGACATATTACGTATACGTTACCTTCGTTAGTATTCAAATAGATCGGCAGAAGTGACGATGAAAGTGAAAATTCCACCGGCAAACTTTGGCAGTCTTTCAGTGTGTCTCGCACCAACTCAAACAAGTCAGTCAGAGCAAGATGCTTCTTTTCCTTGATGATATCTACGAGAGCTTTTAGGTATGAACTGAAAAGGTAAAGATGTATCAATTCCTGCAAATGTTTCTCAATACTGAAGAATATTCGTTATTTGTGACTTACAGCGTCTCTTCTTTCGGTCTTATGTAACCTGGTTGACAAGGAAACGCAATGACAGTATTGGGAGGAGGAATGATCGAGGTAAGACCGGTTAGGACAAAAGGGCACTCGAACTTTTCTTGGTTATAGTGTCCGCCATCTACTATGATCAGCGCCATCTACAAAGATAGAATATTGGGAGTCAGTGTGGGTTTCGTGGAAAACGTTCAACTCTGACTTCAATAATAATAATAATAATTTAATCACTTATTGTGCGCGCATTCCATACAATGATCATGCGCGCATTTCAATGGAACAGAGTATTGGGAGCTTCCCATGGATTTACTTCGTGTTGAGACGATGAAAACGAAGCAATTCCAAACTGGCTTAGTATTAAGAGGCCCAATAGCCTGCCAATACCTCAGTGCATCGTGGACCTCAAAACGTGGTAAAAAATTAAAACATTACTTAAAGTGAATTCTTTAAACTTACCAATGCCTTTTTGCTCAGCTGGTTTACAAGACTGTTGATATTTAAGCAAGAATCCACGATGTCGGCTGCTGCTAAATTCGACTCCACGTCTATCGGCAACAAGTAATTCTCTCCATTTATCTGCAGGGAAAAATATTTTATCAATGCTTTCTTGCTTATAGCAGTTGCATGGAGAGTACATAAGATAATACATAATAAATAATGAATATAATAGAAGAGAATATGTGGACCGCGTGGCACTTTTGAAATACATGAAGATATAGAATATAGATAAGTTATAGTGCTTGGGAACGAGGTTATTCCGGGCAGAAGCCCTTGGAATTAAATTCGGAAAAATTAATTTCCGACCGATATATATAATAATATATATCATATAATTAATCTATAATATCATAAAATAACTGTTATAAATCTCTCGTTGTGATTGGATGAGAGCACACAACATGCTTTCGCACTTTCAGTTGGGTCATTCCTATCTAAAATAACGGTTATTGTAAATTGTATTTTATGAAAGAAATAAAAAACTTGCTTGGTGTGCTGTGTGCAGTCATAGAGCACTTAGGGATTGGCAGAAAACTCGAGAAGTGTCGAGAGTCATTCCGCTACGCGTCGTGCTTCTTCTAACACTTCTCTCGTGTTAGCCAACCCCCGCGTGCTGTATAATTTCACACAGCACGCGCGCACGTTTTCTATTTCTTCATTGTTGTATGATGCTTATGGCATTATACAACAATGATCAGGAATAGTTGATTGGTCGGCCTGTGGTTGGCTTGGCAAAAACTAACTTGTAAGGTGTGGCCAGCGAGGTAGACAAGGCAAACATCGGTTTTGCTGAGATTATGCAGCTTCAAGTCCAATTCACTTTTCATCTTTACAGAGTTATTGTCTTTCAACGGAAACACTAAAGAAATACGAATCACGTTACAAATGTACAAATAGGCCAGTGCATTGAAAGTTTGGTCTTATAGAACCTTTTACACAGTGTTTTCCCATTTCATATTACCTTACATTAAAAATTTAGTTATCTTAATGTCTTTAAAATTATGCCAAAAGTAAGACTGTCTCATCACAGGTAAACCAAGCTAGGTTTTTTGTGGTGTCATGTTATAAGAAAATGTATGGCTATACATAAAAAGCTCAATAAAATCGTTAAAATGTGAAATAAAGTAAAGACATCTTAGCTGACCTTTAAAAAGTGGTCTCTCTCTTTCGTCCAAGATCTAAGTACACAGGGGAAAAGAGATACTACTTTTTAAAGATCAGCTAAGATTTCTTTACTTTATTTCACATATTTTTGGCAATTTTATTAAGGTTTTTTTATATACATTTTCTTTTAACATGACACCACAGAAACCTAGCTTGTGGTCTCATTGGAGGTGAAGCATTGGAGGGTTGCCTGTAGTTTGGTTCATTACTATAAAAATACTGATCTCAGTGGAAGGGAAAAAAATGAGAAAACTGATGGATGGAGAACTGGGCTAAGCAGGACAATATGCCTCTTTAGCTTGTGACCACATGTCATTTTCTTGAGGAAGATTCTTTGTTTAAGTCCTATCCATATTTAAGTGCCTTCTCATGCGCAACCATTAAACACAAAGTGATACTCTAGGGAATGACACATGGTCTGAAATAGGAAAGCTTTATTCCCAAGCTAAAGAGGTCTTTTCCCAAAATCAGTGGCAAAGTTTATTTCCTGCTAAATATTTCCCCCCCTTGAACAATGATTAGGTCAACATCCTTCAAGAGAACAGGAGACAAGTGTCAAAATTACCTTCCCAATTACCATCTTCCAGTTCACGACACAGTTTCTTGGTTTCTTTATTCAGATGGGGAAGATTACTCATTTTTTTGTATTTCTCACAGGTTATGAAAATTGCTTTGGACTGAAGGGTGTCTGTCAAGAAAAAATAACTAAATTTAATATGTATTATTTTATGTATATTATTATATTTGTATATTATATGTAACTATTAAAAATAATATGTATTGTTTTAAAAGATAAACCCAAAAAATTACAGCTGTAGGATTCATTTCAAAGAAGGATGTACTATACCATTTAATCTTTACAGGATGGATCTATGTTCTACTTCTACTTCTCCACCTCCCCATTTTTTGCCACCTGGGTTAATTTTATGGTGAGGGGGGTGGGGGTGNGGGTGGGGTGGGGGTGGGGCAGGGATAGGGGGTAACTGCACCCTTAAATAAAATCAATTTATACACCGTCGTATTTATACACCGTCGGTAGGCATTTAAAGCTAGAAGCTTGTGGGGTCGTGTATCCTCCATACACACTCCTTACATTACATTCAAATATTCTATACACAACTTTCAACTCACAGCTCTTAAAACACTCAACTCCCTTAACCCTATCACCAAAACAGTGGCAGAGCCAGGACAAAACCTTTTGTCCTTGGTCCAGCTGGTGAGGGAGTGGGAAGGGGGGAGAGGGATGGCTTTCTCCTAGGCAGTTAAAATATAGCTTACTGTTTTAATTTTTCCCTTTTATCATTCTTATTTAAAGGTAAGGAAGGGGTGTTGGCCATCAGCCAAACTCCTTTCCACCCAATGCATTCACCATTTTCTTTGTAAACCTCTTTCATGGATCCAACTTAAAAACCCCTAGTTTAAATCAGTCTTCCATGTCTATACATGACTTAACTACTTTTTCAAATGCATATGTTTACAGTCAGAATAATTGAAGGTAGGAATTCAATATCAAGGAAGAAAAGTTTGTCCTAGGGCCCAAAGAAAAAGGTGGGTTAGTCATGGAAGTGTTGTTTGATAACCACTTGAATACCTGGAAAGAAAACTTCTTCTTCAAAGGGTGTCATGTCAGTAAGTGGTTCACTCTGATCTTGCTCTTCCTTCTTAGCATTTTCTATTTCTTGTGAAAAATGAGCTTCTTTTTTCTCGTCTAGCTTTTCATCCAAAGAATTAAACTCTGACACTTGGGTTGGCGAGGGGAAACTCTCAGCACAATTGCTTACATCTCCTTTCTTATCAGAACCAAACTCTGCATCTTCATTTTCTGAAGATTGACCTGCAATAGAACTTCCTTTTTTCATATCCAATTCTTGCTTTGTGTTATCATCAGAACCAAACACTGGTACTTTAGTTGGCAAGGGCAGGCCTTGGGTAAGACATCTAACATCTCCTCCCTTCTCTACTTTCTTCTTATCCAGTTCTTTCACTGTAGAATTGTCTGATCTGGTTGGCGAAAGTGGACTTGCAGTTGGACTGATATCATCTCTCTTCTTTTCCTCCATCGTAAAGTCAGTTGGAGAAAGTGGACTTGCAGTTGGACTGAAACCTTTTCTCTCCTTTTGCTCCATTGTAAAGTCAGTTGGTGAGAGTGGACTTATTGCAGTCGGACTGACAGCATCTGTCTTCTCTTCCTCCATTGAAGAGTCTTCTGATACTTGTTTAGGTAGTGGCAGCCCCTTATCCAATTTTTTTGCTGCTAAATCATCAGCACCTTGTGTAGGAGATTCCACACCTAAATTAAATAATTGTAATTAGGTCAGGACTATTCATTATTTATCGGATGGTAGGGGGTAAAGGTAAATTTATAAGGTATATTTATTTTGCAACCCGCCCATTATAATTAGTATATACTCAATTTTTTGGATCCCTGTTTATTTCCAACATTTTAATTTAAGCTAGGCTCTCCTATAAGCCATTTGCAAATTGAGGGAAAAACTAGGTCAAGTTCGCAATAATACAGGGGGCTGTTTTAGTATAGGGGTCATATTTATAAGTTGTTGTCTATTTTGTTCCTTAAAACAGCCCAAAATTGCATTGCTAAATGCCAATGCAAGTCGACTCAGTTTTCCCCTCATCCTCAGAATGGCTATATATATAATTAATAATACATATATATATGTATGTATATATTTATAAGCTAAAATTATAATCATTATTAGAGAGGTGGTGGCTTGAAGATGTAGGCAATAGTACACTGCTGCCAGCTGAGCAAAGCATTTTGATTAAGAGGATATAAATGACAAGTAATAAAAAAATTCATTAAAAGAAAATTGACCTTCACCTTCTTCCAGATCTTGAGAATAATAACCAGCTTTACTAATTTCTCCAATAACATCAAATCTGTAAATTTTCTTCAACATTTTGATGAGATCAACGACACAGTAGCCCTTGTGAAGCATTTGATTAAACAATTCTTCCATGGGACTTATTTTAGAACAAGACTTTATTTGTCCCTGCTCTTCGGCTGTTAGCTGAAGTGCACCTGCTATTCCTTTCCAGTCTTTGCCCAAAGCATCCTCAACACTTAGCATGTTCACTACTTTGTCTTTAAGACTAGAAGGAATGTCTTTCAGTAAAGTGTCTAAAATGTTATATGAAAAAAAAAAACATCAGTTCTCAAAAACTATTGCAAGTTGTGTCTCATTAGAGCAAAGGGGTTAGGAGAGGGGCTACCTCATGGTTCCATTTCAAGTATATAACTCCACTACAGCCCTTTGCAACTTAATTGTTCTTTCCAAAATCTAAATTACTTTAGGTGGGCATATGATGACATAATTTGTTTTGATCAAGAACATGAAATTCTTGGAAATTCAAGCAATAAACAAACAATTAAATGTCAAAAGTGGCAAGATTCTATCGCTTTGGAAGATATCTGAGAATTTGAGGACAAATCTCTTGATGGTTTTTAAGTTAACGTTGTGAAATTTTACAGCAAATGCATGTTGGTTGGCAAGATGTTGCCAACCAACCTACATCTACTGGAAAATTTAGCAACTTCCTGAACTAATGAAGCTACTGCTCTCAAATTGATAAATATTATCAACAGTTATGACTTTCTTATATTTCTTAAGTCCAATCGTTTATGACTCAAAAGTTGATTTTTGGAAATGTAAACAGTACGCCCACCTATTGGAGTTCCTGTAGATTTCAAGAGAAGAGTCATACTATGCTATAGGTCTGTCCCAACTGAGCGGGGGTACCTGCAATGGCTATTACTAGTGCCAGCTAGCACAATCTCTTATTTTTGTAGCATGGAGTGATAACTGAGTATCTATCAGTACTGCTTTAATTATCTAACCTTTTCCCTTGTACTTTAGTTGTTGGGGTTTTTCTTCATGCTGTGTCAAATCTTCTGGTCTTGGTATATTAATGTGAGTTAACACTGGAGTTGATCGAGAAGCATGCAACTCTTCTGTAGAATCTTGATGGTTGAGAGATGTTTGTTGCTGCACTGGATAAGACAAGGATCTCTCAGTTTGAGGAGGCTTTGGACCTGCCCATGGTCCTCTTGCAACTACTTCAGTGTTATTACCTTATAATTAAGTAATGCATATATTACTTAAAAAACAAGCAAAATATTAACTCATCACTTGAACGCGAGGGGGTTGGGGTGGGTTGGAAAGGGCCCATTTTAAATTTGATTGATGGAAGCCAAAATGCCAGACGTCTTGAGTCGGTAGGTTGCAAAATTATCAAAAGTGCTGTAAACTCTTGACAGAGTTTCATAAAAGCTTTTGAAAAACATAGCTGTCCCTAATTTATGATTGTCACTTTTCATTTTTTCCCAGTAATCAGATGCAAAGATCTAGAACCCTTTTATCAATGGCTTTTCAACAAGAAAGTACACTCTCTAGGGCTGCGTTCATAATGTATGGCAGAGGGGGGGGAGGTGAAA